CGTCGTTGCGATGACATTATGGCCATTAACTGCTGGTTGTCGTGCAAATGGTTGTTTGGACAATAAATTCACAAAAGTTGTTATTAATTGTTACAACTGTTTATTATTTACAAGTGATTTAACCTAGAAATTTATAAAATTCAAGTGGCGCCATCTTATTGCAGATAGTTGATTATTTAGTAAATTTTGTGATTACCTGGGCATACTGCCAAGTTAATAAACGAAATCTGCTTTGTGTCGGCCATACATTCATTCACTTGACAATCGTGACAATCGCGACAATCGCAACGATAAATAATCCGCGCGGTGCGCATTTCGGACAGCTTTGGTAAACAACATAAAAGGTTTTCCATTGAGCATACAAAAGAAAGCAATCTTTAAATAGCTACAGACAAACAAAATGTCTGAAACACGGCTAGACATACTCGTAGGTAGTTAAATTCAATGTTTCTCCAACTTATTAAGCTTTGTGTGATTTTTTTAATACTATTGGTTTTTCTTGTTACTGACGCTCGTAAATAACATAATCAAAAATTGGAAAAGCCCAAAATTCGGAAATTGTACCAATGTAACATAAATGCGTGAATCCGAACCGAAGGAAAACAAACATAATTTGTGCGCACGTATTTGCATATCCGACCCGATATCCGACGACGATTCGCGCATACAAATCATCCGCCATTTGCCGACGCCTCTTTTCACGCGCGAAAGCAAACACATACAGAGAAGAAAAAAAACCGGGGAAAATAGGAAAAAGGGAAAGCGCATAATTAGAATGCGTATCTTTCGCATGCTAAATCCTTGTCAAATAAAAGCGACACGACGACGCCACGCTGCGCAGCTAACAAGTGACGAGTGACGTGTACGGTGTATGTGTGGTTGTGTGCATACCGCTGACCACCATTTTGTAAACAACACGAAACATGCGCAAATTCAACAAATCCGTCGCCGAATTCGATTTCATTTGTTTTCTGTTACGATGACAATCGCGAGCTTACGATATTGTGCAGTAATCAAACTCTGCGCAGAATTTTGTTAATCAAAAACGAAAACAAAAATTTTATATTTTTAGGGTTATATTTGTACCTTATTGGAATGAAATTAACCAAAATTGTAATGATGAAGTATATCATGTTGATTTTCGGTCTAATTGAATCTGTGTGTTTTGTAATTATACGAACAACCAATAATTAACCTAATTTTGTTGAGGTACGTATCCAAAAATTTACTCAAATTGTCGAATTCTGATGAAACGTTCCATGCCGTAATATTGCCTGACGAGTCTAGTTTACAGGCATGTGAGCAGGTAGAGGGAAGTAAATTAGGCACTGAATTGTAAATCCCAAGGGCCCGGAGCCGACGCGCTATTCGAATGCCCAAATTTCCGCTCCTTTCAAACGGCACCGGGCGAGGCGACCAACAAGTGATGAAATGCCACATCCTATCAAGTGAATATTACAAAACAACTAGAACTCAACGCAATGAATGAGTATTTGAAATTCAGAATTGTTTTCGGCTTCCCAGGGACGGAATAAATTGGTATTTTCCGGAATTGAAACGGACACAACCCCAATCATCATAACTCAAATTTATAGATTCGTAGCTTAATATTTAGATGGCGTTCTATGACATAATCTTAAACTTAACTACTTCTTTTCCGAACTAATCATATACACTGAATTTTATAGCATTTGCCAGCTTTTCCATCGGATTATTCGCTTCTTGCAGTAAAGTCGCGAACATGAGGCAATAAATATTTTATGAGTTTATTCCTGTTTATTCCGACGCTGCGGTTTGGCAAATAGTACACCCGATCGTTTGTACGTTAATCGCACGTGTTGCCTATGGTGGATTTATGCATTTTGGAGGTTATGTCTTCGGCGCTACCGTGCGCGTTAGATGTGGTCGTTTTCAGTTTTCACTCGGCGGTTTTCTGCTGCAGCAGTGGGGGAGGTCTCATGTAGATAAACATATGTCCCAAATCTCTTTACGGCTTTGCGACTCCGCGAGGATTATAAACACCGCGCCAACGTAAACGCAAAGCGCGCGCAAGATGAAACTCGGGATGATGTTAAGCCCGCGCAAAGTGAGAACGACTTTGAATGTTTGAATCCTTTACAATTACGCCTCGTTAGGTGTAATGCGGGAGAGGTTCCCGTATACCTTTGCCGCCTCCGCCGTTTCCACACATGCTGGGTGCGAATGTGTGTGGGTGTCGCCTGGTAGTCTTTTACCATTGCAGAAATTTGGCTCCACTGTACTGCGTTGTCGGAGGGCTGGTTAATTAATTTATAAGAAACGACGTCGTTATGTTCGCGCGCGGCGCTGGGGGCGGGCGATAATTTGCTCTAAACCGTGAGTGGAGTTGCGCAGGGGGCAATTCCGAAAATTCAGCCTCAAAATTTTCACACCACGCACTAAAATCCACCTAATTGCATTGCATTCAACAACACTTCTGTGAAAATCTAAAATCCACCCACACATTCTTATCTTTATCTTATACTTAACTTGAAACTCTATTTTCTTCTCGAGAATTAGTCTGGCGTTTCTATCGTGAGCAATTTAAACATTTAAGTCGACAATAAATGCCCGGCTAGGTTGCCGTCGAGTAATTAGAATTTATTTAACTATTTAACGCGAACGAGCAGCCATATTAGCGCGAAATGCTTGAGAACCATGGAATGCAATACAAGTCTTAGTTTGCAGGCGATAAAACGATATAAAGATGCTTCACGTCGCGCTAATTTGGTTGCAAACTTACGAAATTTGCTAAAACTTATAGTTAACGTTTAGATTAACATTTTCATTATCCCTGACTAAAGAAAATGACATTAGAACTTATAAGAACTACCTATTCATAGCTGGCGCCTGTAAACAAACAATATATTTAATTTACTAATAGATTACTAGTGGTAATTTAGTTTTTACACAACAAATTTAACGATTTTATTGTCATAAAAGATTTTATTATGTTTTTTGTTGTTTTTAGGATGTTGAAACGAGTGATTGCATTGCAAGCAATGAACCGAGTGACGTATAGCAAATTATTCGTCGTAAAGTTGTGCATTTTACGGCGCACAGCGTGAATGCTCGAATGCAGAATGCGATCGCACATCGCGCGATTAATTGGAAAACTTACGAACGATTTCACGTTCGCTGCGTTTGTTGCACCTGTCTGAAAAGATACGGGTTACGTACGATGTAAACTCATCCAAACGCGTAATGTTTTTATAGTTCACTGACAATATTAGAGTCAAATAAACAAATTTCTTAACGGATAAAATCATAAAACTGCAATTTAATTATTTTTTCTTTATTTTCCCACAAAATTACGCCTAATTGAAATTTTAGGCATAGATTTTGTTAGTGACCACATGACACATGCCGCAGTGGCCGCACATAGATGTAGTTTGCTTGTACTTGTATGAAAATCGGTTAATTAAGTCTAATCTGCAACATGTAAACGCATAGCTTCGAGCGACGCGTTTAGGCCTCGGCCTAATTAAACGGATTTAATTTTGCGTGTGCACGATACCAAACTAACTGAGGACATGCGGACGACATCTGGTCATACAGTGTGTTCACACATTCACACGTATTAAAGCGGCAATTAAACAAAATTATTTTGTGTATTTTGAAACGGGCTGTTTATTGTGTGTTGATACGATTTTCGTACAGTTGATACAATAGACCACAAGCGTAGAATAGTCGCCGAATATTCCAATCGTGCGCCACGTGATAACATTTGCTAATTAAGCGGTATCTCGTTAACTTTTACGGGCTGCGATTGTATAAATATCCCGACTCAAACTTTCGAATTGTGTAATTAAGTGTAATTTAACGAATTTAGTTGTGGTGCGTATTGTATTACGTTTAAATGCAATTACAGAAATAAATTTCAATGTGGTCTTTGCAAAGTTGATGTTTTTGTTTGGTGGAAATTTATTCGATTGCGGAAACGTGTCGAAAACGAGCAGCACAAATGAAGAAAGTTGTGGAAGCTTGCAAACAATTCGACGATTTTCTTAAACGCCCCGCAAAGTGTTCCCCGAACCGTAATTTTCACCACCGAAAGGATTTTCACGACTTCTTCTTTAATTTCGCGCCATCGAAAAGTTCCGCTAAGACTTAAGTGCTTTTTAAAAACTCCGAAAAGAAATTAATAGAAAACGACGACGACCTCCGAGGCGACGAAAACCACCTCCTAATTAGAGCCCATCAGGAGCGAATGCAGTTCCAGATGCAGAAAAAAAGCAAAGTGCAAAGGGAAAAACGTTGACGCGCAAAGTTTGCGCAAACTGTTTTCATCGTCTGGTGTCGAGTTTTCAGTTTCATTCAGGAGACGTGCGACGCTAATACGCCCGGCGAGCTTTAAAAGATCTAATCATGCTCGTAACTTTTTTACTGCGTTTGATTTTCAACGTTTTGCAAACAACCATGAACACGAACAACTTGTGAAGAAGTTTGTCTACACGTTTTTCCAATAACATAATCTACAAACATTTTTAACACTTTTAAGTGATAAAAGTTTGCAACAGGTTAAATTTTAAGTTTTTTTACAAATTAATTTTTGACGTGATAACGTCTTTAAAATCGTTTTAGTCGGGTGACATGTTCAGAAACTGTGTCACGAGGCCTCTCGAGGCCGATAGCAGGTATACCCCCCTCTCGTTATAACGAGAGAGGGACGGACCCTTCTCATCTCGAGCGCTGCCAGTCATTCCGTGAAATCCACACGAGCGGAGGCAGGCATAGCGTTCGAGTGAGTTGACCGATCTTCCGTCTCTCTCACTCTAGCGGCATACAAACGAATGGAGATTTTCTCGTGCGGTTAAGTTTTCGTTGAATGTTTAACAGTAAAACAAAATGTGAAGTGCAAGTGAAGTGTTACAACAATTGCAACAAACAAAACTTATATCACCAATAAGACGTTATCACGTAAACATCTCGATCGTAAACCTACTTTACAAACAACCATTTTTTTTATAAATTTTACTAACCTGATGTTGCAAACACGACGAGTAGAAGCGCTCGAAGGACGAATCCTTCCAAGGAATGCATCTTTTCTGGATAACACTACTCACTTGTATCCATTTAAAATCAGTTCACTATCTTAATATTAGTCCAAAATGTTCCACAAGTCTCTTTTCGCTGATGTCCATGATTTCCACAGTTTCTGAAACAAATAAAAGAGAATTAGTTTTTATCAACTTTATCCGATTGTTATCAATCCCTCAAAATTGAAAGCTTTACTACAGCTTACACCTCGATCCAGAGAATCTGTTTTTGCTCGAAATCATGTGAAGTTTTCTCGGAAAAAGTAAATTTCATTTATAAAGAATTCCACGCGACACTGCGCCAAATAAGAAGTTTGACTCGGGCGTGTTACATGAAAAAGTAGCTTTAATGCAATACGCTCGACGCGTTTGATTCAATTGCACGTACGTGCACGTGCGATTTGTTCCGTTTTCCGTTTTTCGATCTGGACGCGTTCGGGGGCCGCGCTCGATTTGTTTGATTCGGTCGTGGATCGCTGTGTGCTTGCGTGCTTCCTGCCCGGATGGGTGATTGGCACGCGTGTGCACGTGCAGAAAAAAAATTGACAGTTGTAGTTTGATCAACTGCCGTGGTGCCAAGTTCACAGTAAACGACACAAAATTTTCCCCCGAAAAGACAGAGCCGTACCTGGAATTATTTATTTAATCAGAAATTGGCCTGAATTCAATTTAATCATCATTTGTCTGCGTGTTTAGATAGTATCGCTTTAAATCGATTGTCTATTCTGTGTCATATAATATAAATGGAATGAAATTGAGAAAATGAAAAATTGTTGTTTGCTTGTCTGCTGAGTAACGTGTTTGGAAACGTGACACGTTTGAAACTCTATTCCGGTTGGCATAGAATGCATTCTTCTATTAAGACATATGGTGGGCTGTGTCTGTCGTCCATTTTGATATTATTCCGTTCAAAGAAACAATATTTTTCACTTTTATACAGAACTTTTTTGTTTTATCAATCAAGTTCTTTTTACGTTTTGAAAAGTAGGCGAGTAGTTGTTTAGAAAATCAAGTTTCGAAGAATTTGTAACTTGTCTGGTTAATAGAGACACGAACGACACAAATGGCATAATAAGAGTAATAAAAGATAACGACCACACGACAGTAGTACAAATAAAAGACACTCCACAAACTGCAGCATGTAACGGTGAATAGATATAGAAACAAATGGCCGCAGAGTATGGAATAAAAATGGAAAATAGAAAAGTTTCCAAGTGCTTTTGAACACACTGTATTTTATCGAAATTAAATGGTAATGATACCATTTGATCCCTTCCGTGTGTAGTGTTATACCAAATTGTTTCGTTTTTTTTGCTCCTGCTTCATTTGCAACACTTTTTTCAACTGCGTTCTATTTTTATTGCTTCAAAAAAAGAAAATAGAATAGGTGGCTAAAAATGTAGTGAGTGTATAGAAGGTGGCCTACTCTCCAATTTCTCTTCCTCCCCAAGGAGAAAACGTGTGTGGGTTTTGAGTCTAAGCTATCGAAACTGGTTTCGAATTGCGCACATTTAGGCGCCATTTATATGTACCCATATAGGACGATAGGACGAAGGACGAGGCAAACGAGGGTGCTTTGCAAATCCGACTCGTATCCGACCTGAAGTCGAGCCCTGAACGCAAAACGTTTTCCTGCCCAGCGCAGAAAAAAAAACGTAGACGTAAAAGTAAAAGTAAACCTTGAGGGTTGTGCGTGGAAAGTGGAAGTTCTCCAACGTTCACATCCTGATCCACGTCCACATTTCAACATTGAGAGAACAAAAAATAAACTAGGCGAAACCAAAGTGTACAGAACAGAGGAGAATCCAACCGCCCGAACAGTTCCAGACATTTATACAAAAAAGACGAAGAGTAGGAAAGGTAGACTAAAAACGATGTGAATTGTTGAGTGTATTCTGAATTGTATTCTCTAGTCTGTATTTGATATTCTTTTTTCAGTTGGGATGAGTTCCCGAAGAGTAAAAAAGGATGACGATGAGAAACGAACGCGGAAAGAAGGCATAATCAACACGACCGGATCATCTGCATCCGAATCGGGGACGGATGTTGCACGAAAATGAACCATTTCAATGCGCTACCTTCTAAAATATTTGTATGAAAAATACTATTTTACTCTATAAAAAATCAATTTTAACACTTTTTTCTTTGCCTTTTTTACCTGTGCAGGTCCAATTTGGGAATAATTGTGTTTGCCAAATAATTACAAGCAAAATGCAAGCACGCTAATATTGCTGGAATCAGCAAGCCAGAGTATAATCCTTGCGCGTATATTTACAACGTCATTCGAGAAATACGTTTTATGCAGATGCTGAATTTTGCAGTAATTTCCTCGTCGCAATTTCTCTCCTCGGCACGCCCCGGCTCTATAACCTCGTCCTGTGTTACAAGTTCAAACAATACGCAGCTCTTTGCAGCCGTGGCATTTTCCTGCTGGCAGCAACTTCGTGTTTAATAAATGCAGAATGCAAGCTAGAGAAACGCTACTTCACTACTCAAGTGCAAACGCTAAAATGTCATTCATGAGAAAATCCAAATTTTGGTAATGTCAGTCCGTAATTGGCCCAATTAGAAACAAAATGAAACTTTAAATCAGATAAAAACAAATATTTCACACGGGTAGAAACTAAAGTAGTGACAATTAGAATGTCAACGTGAGGCCTAAAGGATGTCATGCAAGAAAATACCCGGGTGGAACGCAAACATAAGGAAACTGAACCGCACAGGAAGTGTTTGCATTGCAAAGCGGTTCGTGCAAATTGTGCAATGTGCACCAAACATACCAATACGCTCAAACAGTAATAACGATTTCGTGCAACATTGACCAACCGGAATTAAGCCTTCTTGAGCAATTATCATTATTTAAATATTAGCTTAGCTCGAGACTTTGTCCTTGTAGATTTTATTAAAAAGTATTTTTCAAAATACGCCAACAAAAATTATCCAGAAATTTAAATCACAGAATAAATAAATGGAAATCAAAATTATTGTTTTAATTAATTTTTTTATAAATATTTCAAAACTGTTACTGTTACTGTTTTATAACGAAACACAAAATTAATTTACCAATAAAGCAAAATCAACGGATCTGTTGTATTTACAGAATAATCAAATTTAACGCCCCTCTAATTTTCTAATTTTGATCAACCGTAAGTTTCATACGCATGTACGCATAAATTGTACTAGTGTAGAATATAATTAATTTTGCCAGTTCGTATTCTGAATTATCTGATATAGAAATTTAATAATTTCCTAGCTCTGCTTTCGCATGACGGCGCTGATGAAGATTGAATTGTGAACACAATAGCAATATTTGTGCGTTGCCCTCTACCAAATTTGAATTATAATCGTACAACGAAACTATTATTATTTATCATTCAACAACAAGCACAAAGAATACTATTGCTATTGTTGAAGTAGAATCCAATATCAAAATGTTAATTTGCTCGCTTGCATTTGCAATATTTGCAATACGCGTGCAAATATTGAAAATCTTTGAATAAAACATCAAGTGCGAGTAGTTGAAGCCCAACAGAGTGTGTAACAACAAGCCACCGGTCTTTACCCGCTCTGGTGGTCTTAGAACTCGACTCCTCTTTGCTGGGTATTTAAACTCGTCTATTGAACGTGGTTTAGCTTTCTCTTTGCTTCGTAGTTCTGAAAATCTTTAAACGGGTTCTTAGTACCAAACACCAACTAGTGGAACTAGAACAAACCCTCCGTCTACAACGAAAACTTTACAACAATACTCGTTTGCTTTGGTCGCGGCAATTGTTCTAACCACACAGGTCCCATACTCAGGCCCATCAAACACAAGCGTCAAGTCCACTTCAATGATGATCCCGTAGTTGAACTAAAAGTCTACAAAAGTAGATTCGCTCTCATATTGGATGTTCCACACGGGTCAGAAAACCACGAGGATTATAAAGCTTCGCACTCAAAATGCTTCATTTCATAACTTTAGTTGTGGCTCAACCGTCAGAAGGCTTCAACATTTGCCAAAAGGAAACGAGTGCAAACAAAGCGTCAGCGGGCAAAGAGAAATCCGACAAAGTGGACTCAAAGCCTCTCGTTGAGAATATAATATAAAGTAGATCCAACCAACGCCAACCAACCAACGGAGCAGAGGTTAGTTGTTGGTTGTTGGATCTCGTCCATATCATAGAGTCATATCCTCAAAGTCCAAGTCGGAGAATTTGAAGAGTTTAATAATGTGTTGCGTTATACGAAGGTCTAGTGTCTAGTTATTTGGGAGGACTCCAACATGGCCGCCCGATGGTTCTCTAACCCTGTGCTTGAGAAGAGGGGTGGTCGTAATGTGCGAGGCCTAACTACTCAGCAAACGCCGTCAAACGTAACGAATAACAAGTTGGAATATGAAAAGGGACGCCGTGAAAAGGATACGAAAAGCATAATGAAGCGTGGCTGGATAAACTAAAGTGGGTTTTGGGTGGTTAAACTCCGAAAGGTCTATATCATAGTCAGTAAACAAATGAAACTGATCCAATAAAATTAATATTCAACAATTTTCAAAATAATAAAATATTAAACCCGAAAAGACAGGAAGTTTACAAACTTCCGGTTAAAGTTTCGTATGAGTTGGAGTGAGTTTTTACTCCTCACACCCTTTGTCCTCTCCCGTGCATGTCGCACGAGAACGCGCTCATGCGAAACGCGCTGCATAAAGCAACCAAGGCGAAGGACGAACTGAACTCTCTGATCAGATCAGATCTGGAGCTGGAGCTTAGAACCCGCATACAACAGTAGTCCTATACGTACTACCCTTCTGCTTACTCCTCGTAACAGAAGCGAATAGACTTAGTACCAAGGCGATTTGATATGTTGTGAAGGAGCGAGACGAAAAGCACTTTATAGCATCAAACCGCGAGTACGTATGGGCCAATCTAATGTTATCTGTAATTTAATAAAACTTCGGGTCGCAGTCATCATTCTCCTCGTTGGAATCGTCCAAAGTTGCGGATGAATGACTATGGCGAGAGCTGAAACTTTTGCGAAATTTCTGCAATGACATTCGGCACATCGATTTTCGTTGCAGAACTAAATCAAGAGTAAATGTCACAATGCATTTGAATCTGAAATTATAAGAAAAGATAATATATGTTATTAATACTTTATACGTGGTATTTGGTTTTGAATGTACTAAAATGTAGTATAAAACAAGTTGAACTGCGAGAAGTGCCCATTTGGCATTTTAGATCAAACGTTTGAGAAGTAAAATAAATTTCATCCCGACGTTTAAGCTTAGCGCTCATCTCCTGTTACTCATAACACTCGTGTTACGCTACAACGAAGTGGTAATCCACCCAGTGTGCTATGAACTTTTCCGACCCACCCACATGGCGTTTTCCTACTTGCCTATTTCCCGCATGGCTCAAACTCATCGCATGCACGATGATCCCGTCGGGTGGCGTTTTGCTCATGGCGCGCAAAAGTGCGCGCATCATAAATTTCATACTTTGCTAAATATTCAATAGTCGTACATTATCCAGCCGCTTTTCCCACAAAAGAGGCGCGCGCGCAGTTATTAAAAAAGAGCGAATCAACGTGCACAATGTGCACAACTTGTTTGCACTTGAGCTCGATGTGCGGCTGGCAGACGCGACCGAATTTTAGTGCTGCTAGAGAGATGAAACATTTTTAAAGTTTTCCCACTTTACGCGAAAATCCGGCCAAAAATGAGCGCCCAGAGTGCTTAAATCAATTTCGAAATGCGTAAATCTTAGCTGGGAGACTATTACAGGGTGATTTATATGGAAAATTGTGAAATTATTACAAAAACCCGAGCTTGCAATCCGATGAAAAACAGCGTTTAATGTCAGAAAATGCAGTTAAACTCCGCGGAAACACGATTTTCAGTGTTTTGCTTTTCGTAAAAATTTAATTTTTTGTTTGAAAATCTAGATTCTCACATTAATTACAATTTACAAACATGCAACTTGTATTATCTGTGAAATGTGGGAAATGCATCGCATGTTAATTTTAGGCTTAACCACCGGTGGTTGTTTGTCAATGGAGAATTGCGTTGGTGCATGCGATCAACACTCACACCCAATCATCAACCCAGTTAAACCTATTTGTGAGTTAGTGAGTTTATGCATGACTAACTAGTATAAAATCATACCTTCACTATCCACAATCTCATAGGTATATAGTGCCCGGCCCATTCAATCTGTCCACCCCCTAAGTACACATATGGTCCGTGTGATTAATTGATTCCGCTTAAATACTAATTAATACATTATTAATCTACTACGGGACTGCAGCGTTGCACTGCTACATTGCAACTTATAACACTGAGGTGGGCTTTTGGTAAATATTGCTGATAAGCGTGTGATTTGCGTGTTAATTTGAAATTCCGTATGTGTTAAGAAATATTTACACAGGTAACCGCATTGTTGTTAAAGCAAGTTTCAAAACACACGTATCGGTAAATAGTTAATTTATGCATCATTGATTAATCATTTATGCTGTTTTAAGAAGGGTAGACAGAATAAAATAAATAAATAAATAAATATTTCAGTCATGTTTATGGTAAGCAAATTGGATTTATTTCATTTCATGAATATTAAAATAGAATAAATAATTTATCAAAGTAATGCGATAAAACTTTGCACTGGGCGGAAGCTTAAGCAAGGTTATATACCTATAATGCTTGCGCATACGCTTAGTAAATGGATGGAGTTCCTAATAAAAAAATTTGATATTTTTGGTTTTTCCAACTTTTGCTTCTCATTTTTTATACTTTTATATATAAAAAGACGATACAAATTCCTTATAAATGATTAATCATATTCAAAAGTGATTTACAGAGCTTTCTCGCTTTCCCTACATTCGCACGTATAAGACCCAAAGCTCCAATTTTAAGGTATTGGAATTAATACAAATAGAAATGAAGACACACGAAATTCCAAACCTTGGATCGCTTCCCCTTGCTGGCAGGAAATGCGCTAAAGCTATGAATACGAATATCAAGGATGCGAAGTTGGAACGAAAGAAGCGCGGCGTCGGTCGCGGCAGCACAAATCGAATCGCATCCGAGCGAGTGCTCGCGACGGCTGCCTTCGACGCTACCGCCACAGTCCTCGAAAAAGCAAAGAAAATCGGTATGCAAATAATTGGATCCGGCTGGTAATCGCGGAATGTATAAAGTTTTATTATTGCTCATTTCGTTTCGTGAAATGAGCGCCTTTCTTTCAGCCAATTTTCCCAATTTTCCAATTTTATTGATGACGTTTCAGGGATTCGGCAGGATTTTCAATAAATCTTACCACTTATTATAAATTACGATCAAAAAATGAAGAAATAAAATTTAAATTTTTAATGACTCGATGATAAGTTACAGCTTAGCAAAGTTAATATCTACTCATTAGGATATTATTATTCCAAAGATGTTAGAAACCTTAAAGATTATTAAGATATTAAAAAATTAATGGTTGCGCTGGATATTGCAAAATGAATTTCTTTAACGACTTTCCGTGCTGCGCTTGCAACGTTTGGGGTTTGAGCTGGAGTCTGAGTTTTCTCACGAGGCGAGATGATTCGACCAGAAGGGCGAAACTATTAAGCGCATCTGCGATCCCCGACCGGTCGGGGCCGATTTCCATACGAGCGCCTTTTCGTCTAATATCTTCGCATTATGGCGCATCGACGCTTTGTTTGCAGCGATATTCAGGCCGTTCTTTTAATCTATCTATCGCTTCGTTTCGCTCGCTTATTTCAAAACCGTTTTATCATAGAAAGTAATTTTGACCAGACTTTACAACCGTTAAACTAAAATTTACCAAATATTATACTGCGCATGCGCGGAATAGGTAGCGACAAGTTTGAAGTCAATGATTAATACAAAAATTCTACCGAAACTAAAAACTTGTTTATTGCGATCATCAACTTTTTTTAATATTGAAAATATTGACAAAGTTGTTAATAAAACTATGAAACTTGGAGAAACTAATTCACTCACAACTTTGCCAATCAATAAGTACGAGTTGTTTTTTATTCAATTTTTTGTAATCAACAAAACTCGACTGAAAGTAAAGAAATAAAAATAAAACAAATATGGTATGCTGGCTAAAAACACAACTATTTTTTATATTGCTACCCTGTGAAACTCGTTTAATTAAAACTTTATTATGAATTTTTGTACTGCAATATTGTCCCAAAATTAATTATTCTTTTGTTGCGTAATAAAAATTTCATTTTTATTTTTAGTAAATATAATTTTTTAGTATTAGCCGTGGAATTTTATAAACTTTACGGTCATTTCTTTATTTCTAATACTCGAAAGGCATTTTCTGCCGCATCCGGAAAAAAGAAAAGTTGTAAAAGTGATGTGCAACTTTAATTCGGCTTTTTCCTTTCTTTCCTCAAAGCTTTTTTTCGTAAAAACTCAAAAAGTGGAATAAACCAATCGGAAAAGTTTCCGAATTTTATTTTTAGCGTTGAAATTTTTTCGACAATTTTATTCAATTTAGGCTATAAGTGCTGAACAAGTTACAAAAAACTTTTCTAAATTATATATATTTTTATATCATTACCTAATTTTACTTACTTGTAATGTCGCAAAAGATTTTCCTATTCCACTATAATTTTTCCAAGTTTAGTTCATAAATATTCACAAAATTTCCAAGTCACAATCACAGTGTTTCTATTCTCGAAATGTCCAACCAAGTTTACGTTTTTTTTATGCCGTGTTTAATAGATATTTTATCTATATTTTATTATCATCCTTCTTTCAAACCTGTTTTCGTCAGTTAAATATACAAGGGATTTATTTACACCAGGTTAACTCCGAGTTCACACAACCAAATAACAAATAAAAAATTTATTTAATTTTCCGCTTCTGCGACTATAAAATTTTGATTTTATTAAACATGTAGACTTATTTTCAGCGAACCATATTTTTAATTCTCTCATAAAAAATATTAAAAGGGGCGGCACCTTTTTTAAAATTCATTAACTTAAAACACTTAGTCATCACATTTTTCACTTTGTTTCTTGTGATAAAGATTGTTAACTTTATTTAGGTTGGTATTGTTGTGGTAGTTCCCACGCGTCACTGTGTTTATTTAAAATGAATTCAACCTTGTCGCGTTTTGTTGTGCACGGTTCGCGTAAATATTCGCCGTTCGTCTGCCCGCTGCAGAGAGCATTCACGCACACGAGATTTGTTCGACGATTGCGGCGCGCGCGTCGTCGGCGTACTGAATCCGAGTCCCGGGCCGACACCGTCGCGCGCGCCGTAACGCCCGTTGCCGCCGCCGCCCGGACCTGCGCCACGCTATAGCACCGAGAGCACGAGGCTCTTCGCCGCCTTCGAGACTCGGACGACGTCATGGGAATCGCTTACACTCGAAAAACTTATCTTTTCTTTCGCGCCCGCGCTCCGGGTCTCTTGTTCTTCATTCTTCAGCGGCGGCGGCGGCGTGGAGGCGGTGTGTACTCTCGGCGGGGCGCTTTTACTTTCGCGCGCTGTGTTTTTTTGCGCTTGGGTTTCAATATTTATGTTCAATATTTACATCGTTTGTGCGCACGAGTATGCGTCTAGTTTTCAATGTCTCGGAGGCGGCAGGATGTTTGATGTGCTGTTGGGCGTGATTTATTGATGCTTTTTTGATGTTTTAGGAGTTTACGCATCGTGACAGATGATTCAAACATGAGACGCGTTATCACTTATGACTTAAAAATATTCCAAACTTTTTTTGACCAAAAACAGAAAAATACTCATAGGTTACGTATTCAATTAATATAGCCATGCGTTTGTGTTAAAATATCCTTAATAGTCATTAGTTAAAACAAACAATTGCAGGTCGCCTGCCATTGATAGCATGATAGTGTTAATGTGAAACATCCTCTTACTCGAAATCACTTCTGGGCTGCGCATTACAACATTACAACATTCTCGCATTAAACGAAAAGAGGCAATTAGAAGAGAGCGTTCGCGCCGCCTCCACGCTCGGGCGTTATCTAAATAGTTAAATGCACTTTGCGCGCCAAATGGCGACGCTTATGTGTCACTTAATATGTTTAGGTTTTCACGGCTGCGCTCATATAAACAGTATAAATCGTTTTGTAACTACCTAAATACCCAAAGTACCAAAATAACTATAACCTCACACTACAAACAATATATTTCTGATAATAACTATCGAATACAAACACATAAAAATTTTTTTTTTTTCACTTCAAAAAATAAAATTATTCAAAAATTATTGACAGATCAATTTAGAAACATTTGTAAGTGATCATACGCATAGGTCAACTTGAAGTGTCTAAAGGGCTCGACAGTGAAGAGCGCGTAGAGTGCGGAAGTTTCGATGGGTCCAATTTGATGAAACTGCCAAACCCGACCCACCAATGAGAATTGGCGTAAATGTGCAACGTGACGCTGACGCTCAGGACGAAACAATCGGCACGTCGACAGGACCTGCTTCTGCGATACAGAGGAAGGACGGTGGCGGCGACGGCGATGCAGCGCATACGGTGAATTATGTAATTTGGCTTTGTGCGACTTTGCGTTGAGAGCGAGTGCTCGGATTCATTGCAATATTGCCGCCTCGCAATTGAATTATGGTGGAAAGTTCATGCCGAACCTAAACCGCCGGCGCACGGCTGCACTTGCAATCGGTTTAAATTAATCATTCGCTCATTTTGTTCTGATTCATTTCATTTCAGTTATCCGAGAGTTTTCATCATACCATAAACCATTTTAACCTCAAAATTTAGGTATTTTTCTTTATAAAATATTTTTTAATTGTGCACTCAATATTCTATTTTGTTTCTTTTCCACCAAAAAATCAACTAATCCCTTTGAGATAACGCAAGATAACAAGATCGGAACAAAGTCAGATCCGTCCGGATTTGCGAGCTAATCCCCGATTCGCAATTGTGCCAAAAGTCTTATTTTCTTCTTTGTCTTCATCTCCTCGACATTTTTCCAGTATACGCGCTTGTGTTGCGTATAGGACTTTAAGCAATCTACTTTATTAATGGTTTTGTGAATTTTACAATAACTCAAATTTCTGACATTTGATAAACATACTGTATGCCAATGAGTTTCTTTGATCTGAAACTTCAATTTTCCGTTTGCGAGAGATGCGATTGCATTCGGCCATTCGTGCAATTCAGAGCTATTGTACAATTGCACAATTTCCTTTTCATATCTATTCTTCTTCTCGAGGGCGGCTTTATTCGGCCCCGCTCTTCTGTCCGGCTGCACGCTACCTGCCGAGGTGTGCTCGAAAAATGTCAGAACACTGTTTGGGAATTTGTCGAAGTTTATGGACTTCCCGCTTTTCGCAAAACCTTGGTATTGTAATCTCCTATAAAGAATTCGATTCCTTTACTGAGATACAGTGCGTTTAGAATTAATCATCAAACAATAAAAAATTAAAAATTAAAAAGTAGTGTATTTTTAACTTTAGTACGTTTCAAATTAATATTTATGAAGTTGTACTTAAAGAATTTCACGTGAAATATAGATGTATAAGTTTTGCTAGTAGATTTCAACATCTGAAACTAAGTTTTTGATTCAATTTACCGTCCGAGTCTATTCGATTCGTTGCGCTGTGCGCATCGACTCAATTTCCAAATCTTTTGTATCTTTCAACATTGTTTAGTCAAATAAAATATGCAACCGAAACACGCTCGCCGCCCGTATTTGATATCCTTGCGATGCTTGCTACGCCGATCAGGTGCGGATTTAATTTTCGGAATAATGCACTTCGTTAGATATCAATATCTCTACGAATGCGTGCCATTTGCATTGGTATTTGTTTGGCTTTTGCCGCCCAAATTGAAATCCGCGCAAAGCAAACCAAACGAAAAACTGATGAAAAGAAGAAATAAATAGACGCAGAAAACTCCGGAGTGATTTCAGATTTTTTGCGCCGCGCGCGTTCGATTCTTTTTCAATTTTTCAAGAAGAAATAAAAGCGTACAAAACTAAAAGCCGTGCAAGTGAGATTCTGGGACGCGAGCAAATCAAGTTATTTTCACGAAATGTTTGGATTGGAGATGACGGGGATTGGAGACTGGGTAAAAAATCCTTATTTAATATTCGTCAGACGGCGCAAAATCTGTACGAATGCGTGACGATAATCAAAAAGTGAGTAGTAAAAATTTCACTGGAAGAAGTCTGAAAGTCTGACTCAGTTTTTTAAATGTAAAAACAATAATAAAATAATAGAAAGTTTCTTCAAGGACAAAGAATATATTTTACGCAAATGTGAAGCAAAGTAGTTCTGACCCGACATTTTTACTCCCCTCACAAAGTTTGATGAATATTAATAGAATATGTTGTACAACATGATACAAAAGTTTAACAAATTAAATTCTTCTAAAAATAATAACAAATAAAACAAAAATGTGATTAATGTGCATTTTTGTGATGCAGCTAAACTCAGTTTTAAACAATAAAAACAAGCCATTTTACCCCAAAATAATATAATACCAAAACTCAAATGTTTATATGTTGTTTATTCTAACTACCTACACCAGATAATATTAATTCTCTGCATTTAATTAAGACACTACTATTGTTTCACACTCCTCGCATCCGACCAACGCACGTATGTCGAAAGTCCAAACAATTCAACGCATTTCAAACTTATTCAACATTCACGTAACTTACGGCGTATGCCAGCGTCATGCACACGTCCTGACCGCGCAAAAATTAATTAAACTAGAAATTAAGCATGTACGTAATAGCACAAAACGCGCAAGGTGCGCGTACACGTGCACTCGGCGTCCATATTCTCTCATTCGTTTAATAGTTTCTGCACTCTTAGTTAGGAGTAGCGTAATTAATACACAAGTACACGAGTACTTAGGTACATGTGAAACCAGTCAGCTAACTGCAAATACCTGGTAGTAGCCAGCATCGGGGCGAAGTGCGAGAGAATTGTTTTATTTACTATGCAAATAACATTGCGTCACAACAGTTTCGCGAATATTTTAACAAGTTTTATAGTACAAAGAGGTGTTTAGATGAAAAATGCATATATTATTAAGAAAATTAGTTCAATTCTAGGTTTTTTATAGAATATGAATTTCTCATTTTTTCGTTTAATTCAATGCAAGTTTTTAATTTTTTCAATAAAAATCAGCCAAATTCATATATATTTGTGAATATTGAAAAAAAGAAAAAAATTACTTTATTGCCATCTCGGTTTGAATTATATAACTAAAAGTATGATTTAATCTACATATCAACTTCCATCCCTAATCTTAGACTCTTCAAGTAATGTGATTTATACAAAAAGTAGCTTACTTGCTTAACTAAGATTAAAAATTATAGGGTACCAAAATTTATTAAAATTATATATATATACTTTTTGAATTTAAATTATTAGTCGGAATTTTTCAGTCTTTTTTTGTTTTCCATCGTTTTATACGTAATTTTTTTCTTTTCAGAAATATGACATTTTATTTATAGACTTTTTAATGCAAAATAAAAGTTTTATATTTAATTCTGAAAATTTCTATCATAACTGTTCATGAATATATAAATATGCTTGTAGGTCGTGTAATTCGAGTTTGTTTTGCGTACAAAGTTAATTATAGCGGCTACATTAGATTAAAAGCGACGCAGCGCAAAAAGCAAAAACCTCCAGTTGTACGAGTATGTAAACTTCAAAAATAACGCATCACAAATATTTTCATGACCACATTAAAATTTAAAATAACTTTACAAATTATCTATTTACGCATCAAAATTACATTTAAAATTAAAGCACAATAAACTAGAAAGATATATTGGCTTACTTGTATGATCCACCATCTATCTGTAAATCTGTAAGATAACTTAAGTATTCGAAAGTTTGGAAACGTATATTTCATTTTAAACCTGATTAGGGGTCGATTTTGAACCAAATTTGGAATATTACGTGACTGGAAGGCTTGGCCAGCTTGATTAAACTTGTTGGTCGCATTGATTTACGACTGTGACCCACCTGAACACTGACAGAACCAGTACTATCAAAACAAGAGATGTAACGGATATCCGGCTGGTATCCGATGTACAGTAGATACAATCAAACAGGAATTAGTTAAAGAAATCAAGAAATATTCATATCAAATGTCTGTTTAACGCGGTTAAGTCATTATTTTGAATAATAATAAGAAACTCTTTTATGCAAACCGTAATAAATTTTTATTTTACGTTTAACTACGCTAGTGGGGATGGCATTTGAAGTTCAAAATTAAATATTTAAAGCAAAAATAAATTAAAAAATTAAA